AGGCGTTCTTATACTTAATTTCTTGTGGCGTATCATAAATTTACTAAACCAATCTGGTCCAGCCATCATGTTTTTCGTCCAGCTTTCAGGAATTTTTGCTTTAACAACAACAGCATATTGATATGCTAACTTTCGCACTTCTTTTGGTGACAATCCAAAATAAATATCACTACATCTCATAAGATATTTTTCTAATTTAGCTTCTTCCGTAGCATTAAAAATCTGTTTCGAGCAATTCTTATATCCCACATTAAAAGATTTGTTTTCAATCGATGTGCTCGTTTCATTAGCATTTCTATATTCTGTACAATATCTAACTAATGATCGTCTTGGTATGTTGTATGAATTTGACATACTTGTATAACTTTCGCCCTCTTCTACTACTCCTTTTACTGCTCTCAATACAATATCTTCGGGTACAGAAGCTCTGTTAGTTCTTCTTTTATAATTTCTCATTTTTTCTATAAAAAATGTATAATAAGCAATATTAATACATATATTTAAAACAGAATTATTATATGGCTTTAAAATATCATTTTATCCTAACGCTTATTGACACTTATTTTTAGCGTCAAAACACATCACGTGATCAAAATTGAGGAATATATCAAACATCAATTTTGATCACGTGATCTGTTTTGACATGAGCATTAGATGTTAGCATAAAAAGATAAAACCTTTAAAGTTAAAAGCATTGAGAAGATGACAAAAATATAAAAATTGATCAACACATTGAATCGATCTTAACCTTTTATTTCTATAAGTTAAGAATATCAGATATATCTTTTGCTTTATTACGATATCTTATCTTTTCTTCGGTTTTTCTTGTACAATAATATGAAACTATGTCCAAATATTAAGATAAAATTCGATCTGTATATGAAAAATTAACCTCAAATCTAACCTAAATATAAGTGTACTGTATATTGTATCCGTTGTAATATAGCAACTAAATTTATCAATTCACACTCTTAATTATACAACATATACTTACTTCTTCTGCTTATGTCGTTATGTATCACGTACTTGTCTAAACGTGTCCACACACAGTCCACACACTTCTGACGCGCGATAACAGCAGTCAACACAATGCACATCAAACCAAACTTACAATTAACCTTACATAAGAGCCAACGTACCCCATCTCTGCATATGCCAAGATACCCCATCTCTATATTACCTATTAATTTTAACTATTTTATTAAAACAAATTAATATTATTATTAAAAAAACATCGTAAGAGTAACAGAAATCTTTGTTTTAACTAAAAACACTATACTTATATTTACTCTTTCAAGCTGAAAAGCAATAATATGAAATTTTGGAAAACTCGAAAATCTACTTGGCTCTCCATCAATTAGATTTTTCTCTTTTTTTATTATAATACTTGTTTGATTCAGATAAAATTTTGGGAAAAGTATCTATGTTACAAAAGAGATATTTTATGATAATTTTTTCATTATTTCTTTTGTCATAAATATATAAACGGAACACATTGCCAACTTGCCTCTTGTGCCAACGAGCCC